TTTCCTTGTACTTTAAAAGAAAATTCTCATCAGTGAAGTATATAAGAGCTACATTCTGCTTTTACCCTCACAGTTTGTGGAGTCCCTCTGACGCTTTGGTGGCTGAGGGCCTGGGGTTGGATGTGAGAATCATGACTAATTCCTTTTGTCATTATTTCTTAGGATGCTCGAAAAGCCTGTGCAGATGCAACTCTCTCCCAGGTAAGTTGTTTGCTTGGGCAGAGGCTAGGCAGGCAGGAATGGGCTTGCTGTGCCTTTCCTGTGCAGTGGAGCACAAAGCTCTGCCAGCACCTTTCATTCGGAAGTCATTGTGGTGATAGGCACAGATAACCAGAATTTATTTCTCTGGCCTTTAAGGATTACTTCCTAGCATAGAGGAAGTAGTCTTAAGATACCATTTTTGTCTAAAGTATTTGACATTTTTCTCAGACAACACTGCAATTTTTGACAGCTTGACAGTTACTCAAACTGTTAAACTTAGAATTGCCATATCACCCAGCAGTCTGACTGCTAGATAGATATGCCAGAAGAATTGAAAACTGGTTTTCAAACAGTCATCTTGTCCCCTTGTCTTTGGGGAAGCTCTCTGTGTATGCTTGACCTTCCTATAGCACTAGACCTTATAGATAGTATGTTTTTCCCTACATTCGAAAAGAATTTAATTTGTAAATTTAGGCACCAGAAGAGATTAATAATAACTAAGATAAAGTCATGACAATGTCCTGTAATAGTTATGTGGACATACGCTGTTAGATATCTTACCAGGCTTTAAAGCCTGGGGAATAGCAAGATAAAATTAGGTGATTGTTACAGGTTGTGGGTCTGGGGGTGCTGCAGCACTGCTGGAGTCTTAACAGTCTTAGTCAGCTTCTGAACAGCTGAAAGGTGGTGTGTTCACAGCAAGGGGGTGGACAAAATGATTTACATTCTGGGTGGGTGGGGCAGACTGGGTCAGCATCAAGTATCATGCAACTCAGAACAGAGTTGTAAATTCATAAATTACCTAACCCTGGAGCCTCTGTTGACCATGGGTAACTGAAACCACAGAAAGCAAAATTGTCAATGTTGCGGTGACGCTGTGCACCAAGTTTTTACTGAAGGCCTCCATGGTAGCTATAATGTAGAAGAAGTCCAGAATTCCTATTATTATAATATATCCATGTAATGGAATATTACTCAGTTATGAAAAGAAATGCAGCAGCAACATGCTACAACATGGCTAGCCTTCAGAAGCATTTTGATGAAAGAACAAAAAGCAGACTACATGGGTTTTGCATTTTCTGATTGCATTCGTATGAAATTTCCAAAATGGAGAAATATCCTTGGAGACAGTGTAGATGATGGTGTTTGCCTGGGATCGGGGTAGGGGAGTGGGCGCACTGCTCAATGATTGTGGCAGTGATTATACAAAATTAGCCAGTGTAGTTACTTTCATGTTGAGTGAGCATTCTGTGAGGGGTAAGAGGAGCCAGGCCTGTTAGACCTGTATGGGGAGAAGTGAAAAAAGGAAGAAGACAGTGTCTGAAGCTGTCCTGGCGTGTGCATGCAGTAGTAGGTGTCCTAAAAGGGAAGGGTCCTGGGGTGGGTCAGGGTTAGAAAGCCAGAGCGGGTGGGGAGCAAGATATCACCAAAGCAGAGCCGCAGCTGCCGATGCTAACCTGTAGTAACTCTTATTTATTTTTAAGATCACAAACAACATTGACCCAGTGGGAAGAATCCAGATGCGTACCCGAAGGACACTGCGCGGACACCTGGCTAAGATCTATGCCATGCATTGGGGCACAGACTCCAGGTACTCATGGTCCTGCAAACTGTTCTGATTTCTAGTATATAATACAAGTTTGGAATTGAGCCAGGTCTAGCATGCACAGCCACAGATTCTGTCCACAGCTCCATGCAGGGCTTGAGCTGGCTGCTGTTGTCTTTTTTTTTTTTTTGGTCGGGAGGCCTGAACTCTGGGCCTGGGCACTGTCCCTCAGCTCTTCAGCTCAAGGCGAGCACTGTACCACTTGAGCTACAATGTCAGTTCTGGTTTTCCAGTGGTTTTTATTGGCGATAAGAGTATCACAGATTTTCCTGCCCAGGCTGGCTGATGCTCAGATCGCAGCCTCCTGAATAGCTAGGATTATAGGTGTGAGCCACCGGCGCCTGGCTCTGCTGTTGTCTTCACCACCCAAAAGAGGCATGTGATCCCAGCTCTGCATGAGGCACCAGCTACCCCAGCTCTGCACTTTCTTGCCGCCACCAGCTCTGTCCTCCTTGCTCCTTGCCTCCCTTTCCTCTCGGGACCCTCATACTCCCAGCTCTCCTGCAGGCTACTCTTGGGACACCCCTCGGGAAGAAGTTGTTCTCCTTTCCCCTGGTTCCTCCCCTTCCCATCTTGTTCCTGTAGCTCCAAGATCCTTGGTCAGAATGCTAGAGCTGGCCTGGCATGGAGGATGAGTGGTCTGAGGGCATGTGGACTCTGTTGGCCTCTCCGTGGCAGGCCCGGGGGCATATGTAATACTAGTGGCTGTCACCGTCCTCCCACTGGGCCCATCTTCTGCTTGTTTCCCATTCAGTTGTCAGTGGAATTTTCTGCTTGGCTTTCTTTTTCTTTATTCTGGTAAACAGCCAGAGAACAAAAGATTCTATCTTTAGTTTGTTCTACAGAGGGTCTCATACAATTTCATTTGCAGATGAGTGCGTGATGTTTTTAGTGATGACAGCAATCAGAATAGAATAGGAAAGAGGATACACACACTGGCTCAGAAAATTTGGGATTTTGTGTTTACTAGGCAGGTGGGCCACTACTTGAGACAGTCCTTCAGTAAGTATGTCAATAGGGTTTTGCTTTTTTTTTTTCTTTTTTCTTTGCTCTGTCATGGGGCTTGAACTCTGGGCTTGAGCACTATCCGTGTGCTCTTTAGCACAAGGCGAGCGCTCTACCGCTTAAGCCACAGCACCACTTCCAGTTTTCTGATGGTTTATTGGATCCACAATTTTTTTGGGGGGGGGTGGGGGGGGTCCAATCGTGGGGCCTGAACTCTGGGCCTGGGTGCTGTCCCTCAGCTCTTCAGCTCAAGGCTAGCGCTCTACCACTTGAGCCACAATACTACTTCCGGCTTTTTTCTTTTTGCTTATGTGGTGCTGAGGAATCGAACCCAGGGCCTCAGGCACACAAGGCAAGCGCTCTACCACTGAGCCACCTTCCTAGCCCCAAACTCTTATTTTCTGAGTAACTCAGACTATAAGCATGAGCCACCCCACTCACCTGGCCGAAAGATTAGGTATGCTCACTACAGGGCTGGGAAGGTGGCTCAGGGGTAGAGCGCTTGCCTTGCATGCCTGAGGCCCTGGGTTCGATTCCTCAGCACCACATAAGCAAAAAGAAAAAACCCGGAAGTGGCACTGTGGCTCAAGTGGTAGAGCGCTAGCCTTGAGCTGAAGATCTGAGGGACAGCGCCCAGGCCCAGAGTTCAAGCCCCATGCCCGGACCAAAAAAAAAAAAAAAAATTTGGGCTGGGAAGGTGGCTCAGTGGTAGAGCGCTTGCCTTGTATGCCTGAGGCCCTGGGTTCGATTCCTCAGCACCACATAAGCAAAAAGAAAAAAGCCAGAAGTGGTGCTGTGGCTCAAGTGGTAGAACACTAGCCTTGAGCTGAAGAGCTGAGGGACAGTGCCCAGGCCCAGAGTTCAGGCCTCACAACTGGACCAAAAAAAAAAACAAAACATAAATATGCTCACTACAAAAATGAATAAGCATGGGAAATGATGGATAAATTAATAAGTTTAACAATCTAAAACGTAAATGGTTATCAAATCATGGTGTACTCTATAAATAAATATAATTCTTGCCATTTAAAAATTAAAATTATGGGGCTGGGAATATGGCCTAGTAGTAGAGTACTTGCCTAGCATGCATGAAGCCCTGGATTCAATTCCTCAGCACCACAGAAAAAGCCCAGAAGTAGTGTTGTGGTAGAGTGCTAACCTTGAGCAAAAAGAAGCTGAAGGGTAGTGCTCAGGTCCTGAGCTCAAGCCCCAGGACTGGCAAAAATAAGTAAATAATTTATGGGCCTTGGCTGGTGGCTTATACCTGTAATCCTAGCTATTCAGGTGGCTGAGGTCTGAGGATCACAGTTCAAAGCCAGCCCAGGCAGGAAAATCTCGAAAGTGGTAGAGTGCTAACCTTGAGAAAAAGAACTCAGGGATGGCACCCAGGCCCTGAGTTCAAGCCCCATGACTGACCAAAAATACACACACACACACACACACACACACACACACACACACACACACACACACACACACACACACACACACACACACACACACACACACACACACACACACACACACACACACACACACACACACACACACACACACACACACACACACACACACGGAACTATAGGCATAGCTCAAGTAGTGGAGTATCAGCGGTGAATGAAAAAGCCAAGTGAGAGTTCAAGTCCTAGTATTAGCACACATTTAAAATTTTTTAATTAGTTTTTTCCAGTTATGGGGCTTGAACTCACAGCTTGGGTATTATCTCTGAGCTGTTTTGCTCATTGAGCTACAACATCACTTCTGGTTTTCTGGTGATTAGTTGGAGCTAAGCATCTCATGGATTTCTTGTCCAGGCTGGCTTCACACCATAATCCTCATATCTGCAGCCCCCAGAGTACCTAGGATTATAGGCCTGAGCCACCTGCACCCAGCCTAGCATAATTTTTTTTATTTGTTTTTTTTTGTTGTTGTTGTTTGGTTTTGTTTTGTTTTTTTGGGTCCGGTCGTGGGGCCTGAACTCTGGGCCTGGGCGCCGTCCCTCAGCTCTTCAGCTCAAGGCTAGCGCTCTACCACTTGAGCCACAGCGCCACTTCCGGCTTTTTTCTTTTTGCTTATGTGGTGCTGAGGAATCGAACCCAGGGCCTCATGCATGCAAGGCAAGTGCTCTACCACTGAGCCACTTTCCCAGCCCCATAATTTTTTTTAAAAGGCAAAACATAAAAATAAAATCCGGTTCATAAGCATGATGATTGATGATTGGATTCTCACCTGTTTGCGTGACATGTGCCTCCTCTAAACCTTGTTACAACATGGGCATATTACCCATCTGGTGTGAAAAAAATAAAAAAAAAAAAGGAAAATCTGAGGGTCTGGGAAGGTGGCTCAGCGGTAGAGTGCTTGCCTCTCATGTATGGGGCCCTGGGTTCAATTCCTCAGCACCACATAAACAGAAAAAGCCAGAAGTGTCACTGAGGCTCAAGTAGTAGGGTGCTAGCCTTGAGCTGAAGAGCTGAGGGACAGCGCCCAGGCCCAGAGTTCAAGCCCCACGACCAACCCAAAAAAATAGATAAAAATCTGAGATTGAGAGTAAAAAGCAGAACTATATTTAGTGTGGCCATCTTACATGCCTGCCTCCTCCAAGAGTTAATAAATATTATGGCAATGGTGAATCTTAACAGCTGTGCACAAGTACCCTGGCACACAGATCTCATTTGTTGTCATAGCACTACAGTGAAATACATAAAAATTTTAATTGGTACATTGACTTAAATGGATTATATGTTAGAACTGATACTGCTAACTGCTTTTGCTTTGAAAGATATGGATGTGCACGGCTGAGATCTCAGCAGTGGTGGGAGGCAATGGTAATAGGATCATGAGCTCTATACAGAGAGAAGCTGTCTCAAACACCAAAAAGAAAAAGTTTCTTTTTCATGACATAGGCTATATTCATAACTGCAGGTATGTTTTCATTTGTATGACATATGGACAGTTAAATTATTGTGGTGGCTAGCAGTTTGTTTTTCCAACTGAGGTGCATCAGTGAGTGACTTGTGTGTATATGTTGAAATATATAAAAAGTAATCTTAACTGGGCACCGGTGGCTTACTCCATAATCCTGCCTACTCAGGAGGCTGAGATCTGAGGATTGTAGTTCAAAGACAGGCTAGGCAGGAAAGTCCATGAGATTCTTTAGTTAACCACCAAAACATCAAAGTGGAGCCCTGGATTTCAGCTGGGTGCAAGTGGCGCCTACCTACATTTCTAGCTATGTCAGGATGATTTAAGTCTAAAGCTAAACAGAAAAGTCTATGGGCTCCTTTCTCAGTAGCCGAGCCCTCTGCCCACACCTGTCAGCCTGGTTATGTGGAGGCTGAGATCCTGGGGGTCACAGCAACGCTGCCTGTTGTCCCAGCCACAACAGGAAGTCTGAAATGGGCAGACTCCTGTGTAGGCACATGTCGGGGCGGAGGGAGTGACCTGTTCAAAAATACACAGCACACAGAAGGTCAGCTGGGGCTCAGCTGTGTGACTCGTGAGTTCAAACCCTTCCACACCAAAGTAATATATATCCTGCTTTTTTTGTGTGTGTGTTCCATTTCTGGAGCTTGAACTCTGGTCCTGGGTGCTGTCCCCAGCTCTTCAGCTCAAGGCTAGTGTCCTACCACTTGAGCCACAGCACCAGTTCAGGCTTTTTCTGTGTATGTGGTGCTGAGGAATCAAACCCAGGGCCTCATTCATGTGAGGCAAGCACTCTACCACTGAGCCACCTTCCCAGCCCTCAAATTTTTTTTTTAATTGTGAAAATACTGTACAGAGGGGTTACAATTACATGGGCAAGATAATAAGTACATTTCTTATCAAGCATTGTAGCCTCCTCCTTTGTTTCCCCTTCCCATCCTCCCCCCGCTCCCCCAGCCCTCAAATTTGAGGGTTCTTTTTTTTTTTTTTTTTTTGGTGGTCATGGGACTTGAATTCTGGGTCTGAGTGCTGTCTTCAGCTCAAGGCTAGTGCTCTACCACTGGAGCCACAGCGCCACTTCCAGTTTTCTGGTGGTTTATTGGAGACAAGAGTTTCATGAACTTTCCTGCCCGGGCTGGCTTTGAACCCGATCCTCGGATCTTAGTCTCCTGAGTAGCTAGGATTACAGGCGTGAGCCACCGGCGCCTGGCTAAAATTTGAGTTTTTAAATAACATTTGGGATACAATTTTTGTCATGTAGATAAATTTTTTCCCTCTTCAAGGTCTGAGGAGCTCTCTGACTATGAGAGAACCCTGGCCCAAGAAGAATGAGGTGTTGGCCTGGGGCAGTTTTCTCTGTCCTTGGGGTTCCTCCTGCTCTGCTTCTCCTTTGGGAGGGTGGATCAGTGCTAGGGCACAGGATGCTGACTGTATGGGACCTGCTCTAAGTAAGGGTAAGGAAGAGCACCTGACCTGGGGTTACTGGAAGGCATGTCTCCTCTCACCTTCCAGAGGATCAGTGAGTGCACAGCTCAGCCAGTCAGCAGTTTTTAAGCTGACTGACCCTGGACTGCTCTGAAGGTGACCTGATACTCTGCTCAAAACCTCAGAGGGACCAGGCAGGAGCAGAGCAGCAGAGTTGTGCCTTCTATGGTTCTGTGGTGTGTGGGTGAGAGAACATGAATGGAGGAGTTGGCGCTAAGAATCATTGGAGGGGTGGGTAGAAGCTGTGTAACCACCCCGAGTGCCCCGAACATCCTGTAGATAGACTGTTGCAGTTGGAGGCATTGCTCAGTGTTAGAGCACTTGGCATCATGGTCAAAGCCTTGGGTACCATTTCTAATACTAACTACTAAAAAAGTTGTATCTTCAAAGCAACAGGATTGCTACCTACACTTTATTTACTTATGTTATTGATTGATTTAATTGATTGCTTGGTTTTTGTGCTGGTCTTGGGGTTTGATTTCAGGGCCTGAGCACTATCCCTGAGCTTTTTGCTCAAGGCTGACACTCTACCACTTGAACCACAACTCCACTTCTGGTTTTTGCTGGTTACTTGGAGATAAGAGTTTCATGGACTTTCCTGTTAGGGCTGGCTTTGGACTTGATTGCCAGATCTCATCCTCTTGAGTAGCTAGGATTACAGTCTTGAGCCATTGGTGCCTGGCTCTGTGATGTATTTTATGCCAAAGTACTGAAGTGGTTTATTTATTTATTTTTATGTCGTCATGGGGTTTGAACTCTGGGCCTGGGCGCTGTGGAGCTCTTCAGCTCAAGGCTGGTGCTCAATCACTTGAGCCACAGCACCACTTTTGTTTTCCTAAGTGGTTTATTGGAGTCTGATGGAATCTGGGCGCCCGGTGGCTCACACCTGTAATCCTAGCTACTCAGGAGGGTGAGATCTGAGGATCCAGGGTCAAAGCCAGCTTGGGCAGGAAAGTCCAAGAGACTCTTATCTCCAATAAACCACAGAAAACCGGAAGTGACACTGTAGCTCAAGCAATAGAGAGCTTGCCTTGAGCTGAAGAGCACAGGGACAGCGCCCAAGCCCAGAGTTCAAGTCCCACGACCAACCAAAAAAAAAAAAAAGTCTGCTGGACTTTCCTGCCAGAGCTGGCTTTAAACCATGATCCTTAGATCTCAGTCTCCTGAGTAGCTAGGAATACAGGCGTGAGCCACCAGCACTTGGCTATTTTGTTTTATTTTTTATTGTACCAAGGTTTGAATGGAGGACCTCTGAGCTTTCAGCTTGCTGGACTGACTGGTGTGCTACTACTTGAACCATGTCTCCAGTCTACCAAACAAGCTTTAAACTGGTTATTTTGGATGTGGAATATCATAAACTTTTCTGCTCCAACTGGCTTTGAGCCTCAGTCCCCAGAAACCCAGTCTCCTGCATAGTTAGAGTTATAGGCCTGAGCCACTTGTGCCCCGCTGTTGTTCATTGTGACAGTGATGTAGCTTTGCAAGCCATTGCAAGGGTCTTCTTCTTCTTCTTTTTTTTTGTCGGTCGTGGGGCTTGAACTCTGGGCTTGGGTGCTGTCCCTGTGCTCTTCAGCAACTCAAGGCGAGCGCTCTACCACTTGAACCACAGTGCCACGTCCGGTTTTCTAGTGGTTTATTGGAGATAAGACTCCATGGACTTCCCTGCCCAGGCTGGCTTTGAACCACAATCCTCAGAACTCAGCCTCCTGAGTAGCTTACAGGAGTGAGCCACCAGCGCTGGCATGCAAGGTTCTTCTTGAGAACACCATATTCTGTAGGCTCCCTGCTCTGCAGGATTCCTTTTGAGTAGCTGTGTATCCCAGAATCATTCTAGCCTGTTTGTTTTCCAGATACCTAAAATTCCTTTCCATGTTAGTCATACTGTCCTTTTGCAATATTCTGTCTTGATTCTGTAAGTACAAGCTGGGCGCCAGTGGCTCACACCTGTAATCCTCATCCCTGCACGCTTCAGCTCAAGGCAAGCTCTCTACCGCTTGAGCCACAGCGCCACTGTCAGTTTTCTAGTGTTTTATTAGAGATAAGAGTCTCACAGACTTTCAAAGCTGGCTTTGAACCTCGATCCTCAGATCTCAGCCTCCTAAGTAGCTAGGATTATAGGTGTGAGCCATCGGCGCCAGGCAGTCTGAGACTTTTTTGGGGGGGGGGAGGGTCTGGTTGTGGAGCCTGAACTCTGGGCTCAGATGTCCCTTAGCTCTTCAGCTCAAGGCTAGCCCTCTACCACTTGAGCCACAGCGCCACTTCCGGCTTTTTTCTTTTTACTTATGTGGTGCTGAGGAATAGAAACCAGGGCCTCATGCATGCAAGGCAAGCGCTCTACCACTGAGCCACCTTTCCAGCCCCAGTCTGAGACTCTTATCTCCAGTAAACCATCAGAAGAACCTGAAATGCTGCTGTGGTGGAGCGCTCACCTTGAGCAGCTTAGGGACAGTGCCCAGGCCCAGAGTTCAAGACCCATGACCGGCCAAAAAAAAAAATCTGCAAGTACAAAGTGAGTTCTCAGAACATAGATCCCACACTTAGCATTCTTGCTCAGAGCAAGGAGATAGTCATGAAACAGCTCATTGCCGCTCTTGCCAGGTGAGGTACAGTACAGCATCCAGGTGGAGCGGAGTAGAAACTTGGATTGCAGACTTAGTTTAGTCTAGGAAGTGTCATGGTGCTATCTGTGAGCCTTTCTGCTTTGAGCCACAGCACTACTCCTGATATTCTGGTGTGTGTTTGTTTGTTACCAGTCCTGGGGTTTGAACTCAGGGCCTGAGGACTGTCCCTAAGCGACCTTCACTCAAGGCTAGAACTCTACTACTTGAGTCACAGTGCCACTTCCAGCCTTATGTGGTACTAAGGAATGGAAGTCAGGGTTTCATG